ACTGTACAGAATACCTATGAAATATATAGGATATTGAAAATTAGACGTAAAAATTTGTAATTATTAATATTTGACACATTCATACCAAAATACAAACTGGTACAGTAGAAAACATACCCGCTAATAATGTTTCTACTGGCACTGGATTTTCAACACTCATCTCAGAGATGGAGAATTTCTCATTTACATTTCAATCTTTGTTCAAATGTGATGAAATATGCTACTTTGTTCAACAAAGAGTCTAGCCCCTACTGCATAAAAATGGAAAACTAAGGTATAGTGTCTAACAAAGAATCATAGCACGTTGAATCACGTTATATCATGAATCATAGCACGTTAACAAAGAATCTTAAGACGTAGATGAACTGTCTAAGATATAAGGAAAACAATGCCAAAAACAGTATTTTTCTAACTGAAACTATTTATTGGAAGTTAATCAACAATATGAACTAAGCTAACTTCTAAGAAGTAGTATGGGACTATCATTTTGTTTTCCACAAAAAGAAAGTCCTATACTTTGTGTTTCTTTCAACATGTCTTTTCAATATACGCTTTTCCTTTCTTCCAATTTCCTTGCCTAAACAGCATTTATCATTAGATATAATGTCTCAGGGAAACTACATATAACATTAAAATAATTCAGATATTCACACATGCCATGCATTCTATAAACTGTCTAGCTATTCTATAGAATGCCTGCTTTTCAGACTGCTGATAAAATATAGACAATAATATTCTATGACTTCTACGACTACACCAATGTCAATTGCAGTTGTCATATTTATTATTACTATTATTTACATAGAATTTTTAATATACTCATTAAGGGAAAGATAATATACCTGAGAACCAGAAAGAATAGAATCTAAGTTTTTAATAAGAGAGGCAGGGAAATCTCGATGAAGAGGTGTACCACGATGGTAACCTTTAGATTTTGGCACATCAGTTTCATTCACAATGCTACAAGACACTGATCTGTGAAATGTTTGCAGCCTGCTTTCATCCAATGATATATCCATTGGTACAGGCTTTCCTGCACCTTTTTCATCATAGTCAGATGCAGCAGGACGTAAGTCAGTCTTCCACACCGGAATACCTTTTCCGGGATCACTTTCGATACGTCTGTGTCCACCTTTTAACTCATTCTGTAAGACAGGGCACCCAGGAGAGTTAGGGAGGAAAATGCAATTAGAAAGAAGAAATATTAGAAAAAAGAGTTTATGGCAGTCATGGGATAAGTACTTCTAGTATTCCAGGGAAATAATTAAGGATATATCCTAGTAGACTAGAAGAGAAACACGCTAATGTGACAATCAAAATCGTAAAAACAACCTTGTATTTAGCGTAAGTATATTAAAACACTCAATCGATTTCGAGGGCAGCTAAAGGTCCCTCCTCATCAGGAGAAAGAAGAAAACTAAAGGGGAAGGAGTCTCAGACACACATGGTCCTTATCAGCACTGCACGTGGTTATAACCGGATTTTTAATCAGAGTTACACTGGCCGCCTACTTTTACTGAGCCAGGCTATCTAATCAAACATGTAGCACAAAGGACAAAGAATTAGCGAAGTTAAAAATAGAGAGCGAGGGGCAACTGCACCTTCACGCTCAAAATCTGAATTTCGAATTCATTCTATTTTTAACTTCGCTAATTCTTTGTCCTTTGTGTTACATGTTTGATCAGATAGCCTGGCTCAGTAAAAGTAGGCGGCCAGTATAACTCTGATTAAAAATCTGGTTATAACCACGTGCAATGCTGATAAGGACTACGTGTTTCTGAGACTCCCCTTCCCCTTTAGTTTTCTTCTTTCTAGGTATTTCTTTCTCCTGATGAGGAGGGACATTTAGTTGCACTCGAAATCGATTGTTTCAATATACTTACGCTAAATACAAGGTTGTTTTTACGATTTTGATACCCTAGTAGCTCAAAAGTTGTTTCAAACATATGTAAGAATTGAAAACCATGGTACACTTCAAACTTGCTTTAGAACTAATATTTCAATCTCCTCTACAACAATGTCCATCTCAAATATAGATTAAATAAGTTATTAAAAAACTAGAACACAATACTATCTTCTATTAAAAGAATACAATATTTTTGCTATCGTAACTTTACACGAGACAATTTTTTATTTATCAATTGCTTTAAACTATAAAACATAATAATATAAAAATATCTTTTTTATAAGCTACCGCATTACAACTATTTTTCTGTGAAATTCAAACTGGCCTAACATGGGCATTACTTGTTCATCTAATGGAAGAAAAAAGTTTTAATTTTAACACGATGCTTTATCTACAAGTTATTGTGATTAAATATTTTATTTTCATTTTGAAATTAAATAAACATCTATAACAATTTTTTTGCTCATTATTTTCAGAGCACACTGCGGAAAAAAAATTTATATAAATGCTTTTTTTTCTTATCATATTTATTTTAGCAAATACCTTGATCAAATTTCTGCACAAGCTAAGGATAATATTAGCTTCAGCAAAAAATATTATTTCATCTAATGTGAATTACATAGCTTTAAAAAAAAACTGCTTATAACTACCTTTTATACCTAACTTTTCCTTCCACATAATGCATTATATTACAGAAAAAATTTAATTAATAAAAAAAATTACCAAAAAATTGCTCAAACATTTAATTATTTCACGTACTATTGGCCACAGGGATTTAGCGAATAAAAATTATTTTTGTATAAAACAATTTGGAAAAAAAAAAAAAAAAAAAAAAAAATGCTATGATTCAAACAAGCAACATGCAGAGTAAAATTTTACATACACTAACTGTGTAAATAATGCTCCAAAATAGCAATTATAACTGTAGAAGAAGTGGTTAGCTGAAGTACAAGTCAGCAGGGTAAAGGAAGGAGAAATGAAAAATAAGGTGATAGATAAAATGTCTGGGAGCCCTGCTATAATGTACACACTGAAATAATACTTGAGTACAGTCAAAAAAGCATGCTTAGAAGATACAGTGGTCACATATCTAAATATCACAATCCTGAAAGGTAATCTTTAACTGAATTTTGCAAAAAAAAAAATTTTACTTTCTTATGCATTTTATTAATATAAAACTATCAGAAGTAAAAATTTTCTTAGTCTTCAAAATCAATATGTAAACATGCAGTTCACCTTAAATAAAATAAAATGTGAAAGAAATATAAGTGATTATAACTTAGACCAAATACTAATAATAAAATAACATGCCAAATGTCTTCAACATATGCCTTGCATCACAAGAATTCACATCTAAGTTAATTTTAAAATGGATTAACAAGTATAAAATTACATAGTTTTTATCCTCCTCTGGAGTACAAAAATAGGTAAAAAGTACAAATTTATAGAAAATCAATAAAAATAGTTCAATTTAATGATAACAAGAGCTAAATCATGTAGAATTTATGTAAATTACAGTTCACTAAAAAATTTGGTACTTTTCCGTTTCGCCAGCGCAAATCTCGCCAAGCAGACTTTGCTGGCGAAAGCATACAGTATACACATAAAAAATGTTAACAAATGATAGTTCTAAGAATTTTTTATTTGGAAGGCATAAACATTTTAATATGGTTTGAAATTTTGTAAAAAGCCAATAAATAAAGCAATAAATTTGTAAAAAGACATTAATTTAAGAATTTACTATGCTTTCATGGTTCAACATCCTGATTCGCCGGTTTGTATCACGTGACCACAAGTGATCTTATCTCATGTCCAAACTACAAAAACTAATTCTCTCAGTAATTATCTACATTAATTTCAAGTTAAATCTTATGAAATACAAGTTTAAATACAAGAATTATTTCAAATCGTACGAATAGCTAACTCAGAAATTATGTAAAACCGCAGTGCTTTACTTTGCTAGTGCATTCTCATTAGATTTGATGAATTTAACCCTTCATTTTGCCTTTTCTATATTTTCGGCTTCGAGTAAATGGTGGGATTTCATCCTAATTACCGTGAATGGTCTTAGGGCATAAAATTTAACTAGTAAAAATTTTAGATAATTGTATGCCAGTATTGAAAGAAACAATCAATCTGATAAGAGATGGCTGTGACTTGTTTTGAAAATGAAAGGTAAAAGGTTACCAGTGAAGATATTCCATTTGGCATCAGTTCTACCATTATTGGCGACTTTATCGTTTGCGCCGGCAAACGCCGGCAAAAAAAGTACCAAAAATTTAATTTCACTAAGTTGACTGCCATTACTTACAACAGTAAATTGAGAATTACATGCTCATAATGAAAGAATTCAGGTACTTAAAACTGCTGAAAATTATAGAAACAGTTATTCATAAAAATGTAGCAAATATGGCTTTTACTACAGATCAGTGCAGCAACAACAAAACTATCAAATTAAACTGGTTTTTCTGAATTGTAAAATAAATGGAAATTTTAAGATTTTCAACCACTTATATTTTCTTTTTTTAAAACATATTATATATTTAGGCAGAAACTATCACAGACTTATTATTTAATGTATCATTAAAAATTCTGTAACAGAAACTGCATAGTTTTGTTACAGAATAGTTTGTTTGGCCTTTATGTAAAATTTTCATTAAATGTACCACCGAGATCAATATTTTAATTATTAGTGCACTTGCTGGTTGTGAACTGGTATTTTAATTATTAGTGCACTTGCTGGTTGTGAATTGGTATTTTAAAAGACCGAAGATATGAAGGAAAGAAACTATAACATGCTTTTAATTGCATACACAAGAAAAAAAAAAAAAAAAAAAAACTGTTTACATAAATCACTAGCCATCACTACATCAGCACAAGTATTACATACGGAATAAAATATTTCAGTAATTTCAAGTTAGCATGGCCAGCACATCAGTACTTGTAAACATTTTAAATCTGCATATTACGGAGTGGGCAATTAAGTTTGCCAATTCTGATGATTAAACTTGACGGCAATTTATTAAGAAAGAATATTTTTTTAAAGTTAAAATTATGAATATACCATTAATTAAAAAATATTCATGTGACATACCTTCCTCTTCAGAGGATCAGAACACTGAACCATTTGCCTGCCAGTAAATGGTTTTGAAACAGTAGGAGCTAATCTAAAGTTCATTTTGCTACTACCTCCACTACTGCTCTCATCTCGTAGTGTGGAGGTACTCGATGATAATTTTGCAGATTTCTTGATAGGTTTTTGCTGACTACTACCAGTGGATGCTCGATTCTCTTTGCCTCGCTTTCCGCTCTCTGCTTCTAACCTTGCCCTACGTAACGCAAATGCCCGATTGAGTCGCATTTGGGGAGCCTGATCAGGTCTACTCTGACCAGAGTGAGAACTGTGTGAGCTAGGCTCAGTGCTAGTGTCGGAAAGAATGCTATTATTTTCTGATTTGCTGCGATCGAGGTCCAGATCAGAGCCAGAGAGATTCCAAGGGACTTTTTGCCATTGAGCACTTGCATGAGGTGATTTTGATCCTTCCGATCGAGTATCAGTAGATCGTCTTCGTGTTACATCTTCGGCTGGATAGAAAGAAAAAAAATTATTAAAATGCACAGCATATATTAAATTTGCTAAAACATATATTACAGTAGACAGATTCTCAAAATACAGCTTATTAAATAATGCACAGGAAAGGAAATTATTTCACTGAATACAAATTCATAATTTACAATTTTTATTTAATATATTCCATAAAAATGATACATTTTAATGAGTATTTTTTAATAATTTATCACCTATTTATGCATAAAGTTTAGCTGTTCACATAACATTTTCATTTTAGACTTCTGGCTGTAGCAACAATATGCCAAATTTTAAATCTGCTAACAATGTACCAATTTTAGCTATAGCGAACATCACACAGAGGAGGATACAAAAATATTTAACTTCTAGTACATATGATCAACATGATCTTTGCATTATGAGTATATAATGAGATTTTTCAGTGCTTCTTCATCTTGGCAATATTATTTTGACGTCAAGAATTTTTATGGCAACAAACCATCCCCATTGACACATTGTAATTCTTATGTGTTTATTCCTAACAACAGCTTCTCACTCTTATGCAATTTCTGTAACATTAATTAAATGTTTAACTGTTTAATTTAATTTGATTGTCAATATTATATAAATGCTTAGCTGTTCAAGTGATGTAGTACATGAAATTGAGCTGCGGAAAGATCAGAATAAAAAATGCAAATGCTTGGACAAATGATGTATGCAAATGATTGTTACTAGAGATGTCCTTTTTATAGATTAAAAAATGCTATAGATGAGAAACAGTAATGAATTACTCAAATGTAACTGAAGATGTTTAATCACCAAGAAAATGCAAGCCAGAATAATGCAAGTTCCTAACATTCTGATAAGAAGAATATATAATCTTTATAAAACATTTTGTAAAGAAACGATCGCGGATATTTTTTAAAATTTAATCAAATATACAGATTCTTCTGATTTACATCTTTCACTACTCTTAATCATAAAGTGATTACAGAATTATATCTTTCTCTACTTATAATTCCACAAAAGTAAAATTTGTTGCAATCGAACCCAGTTTCTTGATTAGTACTTCTATATAATGTATAGTACATATGCAGCAGCAAAACAACAATCTGCACACCTTTAATCTAGGGCTGCATGGATTTTATAACTTTGCAGATTTGGAGTAAAAAAGAAAAATTAGATTAAGGTTTTTAAAGAAAATGTAAATATATTCAAAAAAGCATGAAACGATAATTATTTCTTTCTGACATTACAAAAAAATATTTATTAAATATATCTTATACAAAAAGAAAATAAGGATTAAATGGGGATAAAAAGGTGCTTGTTACATTTTTCAAATATCTGTTGACACGTTTGCTTTAAAACTTGATTTCTTTCAAAATTTCTGAGCCCCATTTTCCTAAAATGGAACAGTTACTGCTTCCTGATGAGTCATAAAATTTCTTTATTTTAAACTGCTTTTTTTGCCAACACTCACAAGAAAATTATGAATTTGTAGAGAATTAAGGTTTTTTTCAGTTGGAGGGGGGTGAGAAACAAAAAAATCAACTACACATTTCGTTAAGATAAAACTATAGATTTTCCAACTGTTAGCTGGATGTGCTACTAGTTAACCATAAGAGCATACATGGAGAATTTTTAACAATAATTTACTACAATTTTAGTTCACTTAAAGGGACAAATGAGAACTAGATGAGTTCTAGCCAACCAAGGTGATGAATTATCAGCCACCAAATTTTAGTTTGGAAGCTAGTTTTGAGACTATTAGGTTTCTTAATTGAGAAAATGTGAAATCATCATCTCTGCTTTCTGAATCCTGGCTGAACATGCTGTCAGTTTCAGCATGAAAGAAGGAACAAGAAGTGAAAGTTTTTTTTAAACTTATTTAAAACATGTCTTTCTGAAGCAATGATAAAGTATTAATTTTTAATTCTAGTTGTAACAAAAATTAAAAATATATTTTTGATATTCGAACCACATGCACCACCAAATATAAATTTTGGCATAAAAAGAGTAATGGCAACCCTAACAATACATTCAAGATGCATAGCTACTTGATAAAGAACTACTTAAGTAAAATCTTTAACTACAGATAATTAATTTCTTTCCCTGAAAGAGTTGAAACACACACTCTTCATTATTTGGCAATAGCCCGTTTAAAGAAAGTTCAATCTTGGTTATTTTGTCCAAATCTCGCAAAATAATTATATATATGGATCAAAATATGTTGAATTACAAAATTTGACATGGTTTACAGGGTAAGGCTGTTATTTTTGGCATTCTTAACCACATTCTGCTTGCTCCTCCATTAATGGAAGAGTTAAACAATTCCAAATATTGCAATCTTGCTTGACGGAAACAGCAAATTATAGGTATAAGTTTAGCCACTACTGGCAAAATATTTATTTGGGGCGGGGAAGTTATCACAATTATCAATAGTAACTTGCAACCAAAAATCACTAAAGCTATCTACATTTCATTGTTCACTTCTGAGATTCTGCCTGGATTTCAGATACCAAAGAATTTCCGGTTTTTCCTTTCTTTCTTTTGAATGTATTTGACCAAGTACAGGTGCAATCTTCTACAGAATATTTCAATTTTTATTCTTCATCACATAAAGGTTCAATCATTTTTAACTATAAAAAATATTATTTAAACTCAACACCCATAGATCACTAACAGAATATGACACTGAATAAAAAAAAAATACATAATAATAAATTATACCTTTGGAAGATGATTCCCTACTTGATGGAGCAGCTGAAAGATTATTTGATAATGAACCAGGAGATTTCAGAGTTGAAGGTGTTTTAGTTTTTCCAGGAGATTTCGGAGATGTAGCTAATTTTGCACGTCTGGTTCGATCTGGAGTTGAAGGAGGATCAGACATTTTTCTTGTACGTTGCAAAGATCGTGGCAAGGTGTCTGAATGATTCAGACTTTCTGTTGATGCCGCTGGTGTTGGTCCTTGACCTCTATTCCTTCCATAGGTTTTGGTTCCAGAATTCCACTGAATATTAGGTTCTGGAATTATATAATTTATTAATATGATTTTGAAATGGGGGGGGGCAAAAAGCAAATGCATTTGATAAAAATAAAAGATATCAGGTGTATTAAGAAAAGCTGGGAAACCATTTGTAGACAATTTTTCTATATTCCTTTTACAGTATTCAACATACCTCATTTTGTTTAATGAAAATATAACATGTAGTTTGCTCTTGATGTTATAGGGTACTTTATGCACTCCCTTGTTGATCTTGAAAGCTGATAAAGAATCCACCAACCTCGAGTCAACTATTGAAATGAAGTTTAAAAGAACTAGATTATAATTAAATTAGATTATGAAGCACTTGTGTGCTATCTGTATGAGGGAACAGAAGCCTTTGCGAATAATTTTTTTATGGATCACCAGACTCGTATTCACACAACACACAGGGAAACCCTACAATATGCCCATTCACAAGGATTTGAAGCTCAATCAAATTATCACTGTTCAGTGATTTTACTGTTTGGCCACTGTATCTTTGAAAGTACTTCAATGCATAATGTACTGTAAACGAGAGGTCTCAAATTTTAATCTTTTTTCAAAATGTGAGAGAAAAAAACATAAAACAGCAGTTCATTTATATCCTTTATTATTAAAACTAAACTAGCTGAAGTTTAATAAGGGTTAAAGAGAACTTAAGTGAAGATTTATGAATGGCCTATGAAGTTACACTTATCCGTTATTGGCACTAAATCATGCTGTTTGGTAACAATTTTTGTTTGTTGAAATAGTGGATAAGGAAGTAAAGATTATTGCCTGCTACACTTCTGGTCTCTAGGCTTTTGTGCTGTTATATTTACCAAGCGACATTTAAGTGCGTTTTTACAAAACCTTAACAAATTTAAGTAGGATTACATTATAAAGCATATTATATCTAATTTAAAATGATCTTCTTAATACCATAATTTTAAAATAACATTTTATTTATGTTGAATAACATTAACAATACTTAAAATACTTTATAGATTAAAAAAGGGCGGACTTGAAGAGGAAACCTAATTTACAAAAGATGTGAAACAGAATTCAAAAGAAATTTCTTACACTAACCTCTTTGTTTAGGCGTAATGGAAGATTTTAAAATATTAGGTTTGAGACGGCCATTAAGACGTGGAATCTGCAAATGAAAATTTGTAAACATTAAATACACTTTTGAAATAATAATAATAATAATAAATATACGATACACTTAAAAAAATTCTTAAAGCAAAAAAATTTTACCACTGTTAATGAAAGCTTTTATTATTGGAGATGATCACTATCAAATAAAAGCAGGATCTAACCATGCTTGAAAATTTTAACTTTCGACATATAAAATAATATAACAGACATAGATATTGATTAAAAAATCTAACACCAGAATTAAGATTTTTTAAAATTATTAATTTATGAAATTTTGGTTTCATAAATATGTTAACATATTCTCAAGCAAAATATTTTATGAAAATATTACCAGGTTCACATCAAGGATGAAAGTAAAAATTATGCTAATAAATCAAGCTTCTAAATCACATATAAATTCAAGGTTAAATATGAAAATCCAAATTATTATTCTGCACTGAGGCATATAAGATATAGGAAACCCTTTATTAATTTTCTCAACATGATATATCAGAAATTACATTTATCAGATACATAACTAAAAATAAGAGGTAAATTATTATGAAATACATTTATTGCTTTTAAATCATTCAGGATGTTATGTAGTCATAATTTGAAAGATAATCTGAGGATTTTATGACAGTATTAAGAAATATATTTATTGGTTTTAAATCATTACGTTATGTGTCAGTCATAATTTAAAAGATAAACTAAGAGTTTTATGCTAAGTACAGTGGCCAATACACTATGAATTGGGCAATCTGGCATATCACAAAGATGTAAACTTAAACACATTTCTTAAGCTACAATACTTAGCATCCATGTGGTTAATAAACACTCTGACAGAATAATGTCATGGAATAGGCCAACAAATTTAGATTCTATTATAGATGTTTCTAATGCCAAAAAGCCCATGATATACAGCTTAGCATAAAAGTTCTATAGCACCTCCACAAAACAAGTATTCTGAACATATAATCACACACTCCTTTTTATTATATGTGAACACCATAAAGAAATTAAAACTGAATAAAATTTATTCCACCTATGACCTGTTGTGATAAAAAACGATTAAAGTTGCAGAACAATAAAAGAATATTAAATGCTAAAAATACATATTTGCAACATATAAACACCTTATCCTGTTTTTATATGATATGCATCCTTGAAGAACATGAGTAAAAAAAAAGACACTATATCTATGGGAGAAAATCCATCTAGTTCCGGACTTAAATATCAACAAATATAATTTTATAAAATCATCTAAAAAATTAACTTTAAGCTACTTATTCTAACAAAATGTGCATGCAATAATTTGTAACAAAATGCATTAAAGTAAACTCATGTTTTAAACCAAAAATTATTTATGAACAAAAAATATTACACATAACAAAATTTTATTAATTTTCATGCTCTGACAATAAATGGTGCTGTGTTGTAAATGATTAGGATATCACTGCTATAACTAAAAATGTGAACATTATCATCTTCCTCTATTAAAAAAATTCTTTCTGTGATCTTTTGAGCAAAATTACCATCAGTTTTCTCGCTGCTGACTTTTCACCGATTTTACAAATGATTTCAGTTATTAATTGTTGTTTTCATGTTTTGGTTAGGCTGTTATGTAATTCTTTGTAAGGGACTGTTGACAGCTTCAGTTGACACTGAAACTTCCCACCATGTTAATCGTTATGGTCACATTTGGCAAAATGATCACCCAATTTTCTGGCTGTTTCCAGACTTTTTTATATTAAATCTGCCTTTGTAATGATCAGTTTCTTCATCATCATTATACTCTGTCGGATTAGCTGCAAGGAAAACTTCTAATATTTTATCTTCACTTAGGGTTTTGCCAACTAACGATTCCTCAATATTTTCAAACGATGAGTCATCAAATCTTTCTCTACCATCTTAGATAAAAACTCTAGAAACTGGCTCAGCTTGAGTTTAATCAAAATGACATGTGTAATAAGAAAACAGGTGAAAAAGAAGTATATTGATTTGAATTCGTGTTACATCAAATTCATATAAAAAAGCCTCATGTAAATAGAATTAGGTGTGTGTATATATATATATCTTGGCCATTTATCATTTATATATTACTGCAACCATTTTGTTTCTAAATTTTCAGAATGTGTCAAACTCTGACAACAATGTACATATAAATTTTTCAGCCTATTAAATATTTAAATATTGTTTGTTAAAAGCAATGTTGCAATTTTTATGCACCTTTTTTATTATTATTATTTAAATTTTGAGTTTTAATAGTTTTTAATAGACAAATCATGATATTATTTATCCTAAACTCAATTTTAAAACTTTTAAAACATATACTAGGGGAATTTGATTGCAGAAGAAATTACAATAAATTTCTGCGCGAGTCTGCCGTAATACCATTAAAGGGAATATCATAAGTGCATAATCTTAAAACACTCCCACGAAATTTTCAACAAAATGAAAGAAACATGCATTTGTAAGTAGACTTGTTGATTTTCAAGATACTTTATCAAGATGTAAAACATGCAAAATGCACATACTAAATAACCGCTTACAATTATAAATCATCATTATTTTTCTTCTGTAAGAAACTGCCAAACTGTGCCAAGGTGGTTGCACTAATATTATATGATAAATAAAGCCTTAGGCAAGTGTACTTACCATAGAGTATGGCTCTTTGTTTTAAACAGGATTTATCCATAAAAAAATAAAAAATATTTAATTAAAAAAACACCACTAGATGTACTATATCTTTACATATATATAATGAAATTTACATAGCAGAAGAATTTACCTGTTTATTGGATGATGAAGTTGTGCTTGATGAATACGAAGAGGACACAACAGAATTGGAAAGTTGAATAACACCAAACACCTCATCAATTTTTTTCCTAGCTTCCTCAACATCACAGTCAGCTTGTTCAGTTTCGACAGTATATGTTCCTGCCTCACTACGGTCATCATTAACATCATTTTGTAAGTTCTGAGGAAGTTTCTCTTTAGAAGGCATTTCTTCTGGAATATCAGAAGGTGATATTTCACCATTTAACATCTTTTTAATCAAAAAAGATGTAGAGTCGGTAATTTTACCTATCTCTTGATTGATGTCTAGAAAAAGAAATTATAAACACAATCAAAGAAAAAAACAAATCATAAAATAATAATTAGCCTGTGATAAACTCAAACTTCAGTTACTGATTCATAGTTTTTGAACAAATAGTCTGGTATATGTTTTGGAATTGTAAGTACATCTCTACACATACAGATAGTTATTAATGATCTAAATTTTCATTTTTAATGTTTTCCTTTAAATAATCACAATAAATTACAGTTGACAAAACAAGCAGACGAAGATTTCACTGCAGAAATTTCAATTCATTAAGTAAGTTTTAACTGAAGTACGAGTTTATTTAATGTCAGCTGATTCCAAGAGGTTTAAAAAAAATCTTTTTTCACCTCTATGGCCAGACTGATTTGCAAAAATAAAAAATAATAAATTTTTAAAATATACAAAAATTTTTAAATGAAAATCAAACTATAATGAAAAACAGGGAATAAAGGATAAATAAATAAAAGATAGTCATGCAATACAAATCTGATATATATATTATTTACTTACATTAATTTCGTACATGAATAATTAATAAATAATTTTATATGCAGAATACAAATACTTTATGTACGTTGACCTAAAATTTCTTTTATAAGCATACAAAGTTAATATACATTCTCATTATTATATACTGGCATAAATTTCAAAATTCTACATTCTTCAAATAGTAAAACTCAAATTTGTAACCTTCAAAATTTAATTTACACAAACTCAAAATCCAAAATTTAGTTTAAAAACAATATTATGCTAGACATAAAATATAAGATAATAATTAAGACACAATAACACGCCGAATAAATACTGATTCAAGTATTTATTCGGCGAATTATTATAAGATAATACATTTAAAAAGTGAATGAAATTAGGTTAAACATTGATGACACTTGATCTAATAAATATACTCATGTCTAAAATTAAAGTTGCAAACACAAAACATACAGTATCTCAAAATGAAATTAGTTCATTGAAATGAAATTTTATGCACTGATGCCACCAGAGAGCCAAAGTAACATAGTAACTCATGAGGAGGGGAAGTAAATGCTTTGTGGAATGCAAAACCAAAAAATACCAGTGGTCACCTTGACAGCTTTATATGTCTCACAAGAGGTTCTTACATTATAAATAAGGTTGCTGATCATAGCTTGCATCAATAAATCCCATTCTTTTTAAGGCAAACATTTCAGTGCTTGGAAAGTCCTGGGATATTTATGCAATGCTTCTTTCTAGGACACTGAAAGTATATTCTACAAGATTTAGATCCAATGACCTTAATGGCCACATCATATGGCTAATACTTCTTTCTGCAGAAAATCATCAATCATTTGAGCTTTGTGTGGCCTCCTGTTATTATCCATGAAAAATAAACTGCTTTCCAACAACTCCCTAGAAATGCCTCTCATAAGATTAAGGAGCCTCATCTCTATAACACTATGTGAAACATATCACCCACTTAATAAAGCAGTGATGCAAGATCATTCAACACAATACCTTCACATACAAGGATTCTACTTCCACCAAAGTGGTCAATTTCCTTAATGTGGGACAGCAGGTCACAGGCTCTCTTCGGATGAAGACTCACCGAGAATCACTCTGCATACTGAATCTCGGCTCATCAGTACAGCCCAATCTTGCTGTGTCCAAGTATGATATGCCTGGCTCTACAAAAAGCCAGCTTTCTTATGTGATATGTTGAGAGAGTAGTACTGGCCACTGCACATAAACAAGCTGCTCTATTAAGTATTTCTTTACAATCTGAACGGATTGTTCTAGATGAAGCAGAAAGACCCTGAGAGAGCTTTCTAGCCATCATCTCTTATTTGAATCATGCACTTAATGCCCACATATCAACCCTCTGAGAGTGTCAATGACTTTTGTCTGGGTCTCCTAATCTAACTATAATTTGAAATTGATTACATAAACTGGATACCACTAATTCAGAAGTCAAACAACAAAAATCAGCATTAATTTACAAAATTTTCACAGGACTAGTTTCGATGGTTTTACCGAACCATCATCTTCAGCTGCAAAACCGCAAATGAACAAGATAGGAAATAATGTTTAGATAAGATAAGAAAGCCTGGACAAGAATAAGCAAGTGGCGCCATCTGTTGGCGAAACCAGAACTAAAACATAATTTCTCTAAAAGCCGAAGGCAAATTTGGATTGGAATTAGGATCGTTAACTAGAACAGAAAGATTTTTATGAATGTGAAATGCCTCTAGAAAATCCAGTTCTCCAATGGAAGATGTTTTTTGAATAATTTTGGCAGCAGAAAAATTGAAAGTGTGATTTTCGGACCAACAATGTTGAGCAACAGAAGACTTCTGTGTTTCCTTTTTTCTAACATATGCCTCATGTTCTTTGACGCGAAATTTTAAGGCTCTCTTAGTTTGGCCAATGTAAATTAAACCGCACTGGCAAGGAATCCTATAAATACCCCAGGAATTCATATCCGGAATGGGGTCCTTGAGTATAGAAGTTGGAATTTTATTGATGGGAGAGTAAACAACCCGAAAGTTAAATTTCTGCAAAATATGTGCAACTTTATAGCTAATTGATGGAAAGAAGGGAATGACAACAGAATTTTTATAATCTCCTAAAATAAGAGTGTGGCTTTTAGTGTGTTGAGATGACAATTTTTTAACTGCTTGATTAATAATGTTGGGTGAAAAGCCCCTGTCAATAGCTATTGCTTTTAAATAATTTAGTTCTTCATCAAGGGCTAGTTTGGAGGAGCAAACTTGAAGAGCACGGAAAACATAGGAATAAAATGAAGCTAACTTTTGTTTAGTCGGATGACATGATTTAAAGTGTGGTGGAAGGCAAACCGATGAAGGTTTACGGTAAACTGTAGTACTGAAGTTGGATGTGTTACGTGTGACCAGAATGTCGAGAAACGGAAGAGAATTGCAAGTCTCAAGTTCAAAAGTGAACTGAATAGCAGGATCAATAGAATTCATTGTTGAAAGAAATCTATTTAAATCATCTTTATTACCTTCAAACAGGGTAAAAGTATCGTCTACGTAGCGGAACCATGCCGGGAAGTTTAAAGTTTCAAACAATTTTGATTCATAATAATGCATGTAGATATCAGCCAGGATGGGACTGAGGGGGCTTCCCATGGCTAATCCCTCAGTTTGCTTGTAATATTTATTTTGGAAAACAAAATGTGTTTGTTTCAAACAGAGTTGAGTGAGAGAAATTAGCTCATCAATTTCGATGCAAGAGAAATGAAATTCACGAAGTCTGGTTTCTAGACATCTTAATGCACCCTCCACTGGGACATTGGTGAATAATGATTTTACATCAAAAGAAACCATGAGTAAATTACGAGGAGAAATGTTTTTAACCTTTTTTTACAAACTCTATTGAATTTTTATGGTGTAAATGTTATTGTCTAATAGATTGGAAAATCTAGAAACTAAATATTTAGCTAATGGATACGAGGCAGTACCTAAATTTGATACAATAGGGCGGAAAGGAATACCACTTTTATGAATTTTGGGAAGAGCATATAATCTGGCACAATTCGCAACAGATGGGATAAGCGAATGTTTTAAGTTGCTTGAAATGATTTGCGAAGATTTGATCGCAGTTTTTATTTTGGATAAGTCCGAAGGTGAAGGATCTTTAGGGATCGGATTATATGGTCCTTCGTTTAAGAGTTTAGTGACACCATCGATGTAAGTGTTCTTATCCATGACGACTATCTGGCCACCTTTGTCGGCCTTTGAAATGACAATATCCGGGTTAGAATGAATCTCGCGCATTGTAGCTCTTTCTCTCGCAATTAGATTTGGTTTCAAAGGTTTATTATTGAATTTCACATTATGAGCGATAAGATGCCTAATCATATCTTTCTGTGAATCTGAAACTTTACTGAACTTGAAAGCTTTTTCGATAGGAGCCAAAATCTTTGGAATCGAGGGTTTACAGGTTTGTGAGAAGTTAAAATTATATTTTAGAATTCTCTCTTGTTCTTCTGAAAGACTAACATTAGAAATATTAACTATTGGCTTGATGTTTACAATGGGAAGATTTTTTGAACTACTTGAACTGGAAGACTGTAAAAGGAGTTTTTCGAATTTAACTGCAAGGGTGTTTTTATGACGGTTAACTGCATTCTCCGTTCTAGACCAAGACTTTTGTTCAAGGGCAGTGAATTTTGGATATGTTTTAGCGAGTTCCAGATGAAGCTTATAGAGTTCATGTTCAATTTTGGACAATTGTTGACGTGTATCCCTTATCACGGACCGAAGTAAGGCAAGTTTGCAATTTAACAGAATTCTTGAAACGCGACTCGAAGGTTTTTGATTAGATTTGATTTGAATAAAATTGGGGATCAATTTTTTACCACTGTTTGTGACATTTGTAACCACTGAGTGACCTCCATTTCATACTGGCCAATTAGGCTAGACAGCTAACTCCTAATATGTGAGACTGTTTAACTAAACGTCAGCTGCATTTTCTTACAAATTTTGATAATTTTAGATAGAATTGGTCTTCTTTTCTCTCTCTCCTCTCCAACAACACAACAAACTTTAAATAAACAATCTTATATATATCAGGGTTGCCACTCAAACAGGAGAATGAAATTCCCTGACTTTTCCAGGTTTTGCAGGTGCGCTTCAAGAAAATTCCAGTCTATCCGCATAATGTACGTTCACTGTGCTAAGAGGTAAATTAATTATGGTATTACTTGTATTATGTAGCAAATTCACTTAATTATTCAATAAATCCCAGAGGACATTTATTCTTAATTATTCTTGGTATACTTTGTTTGATAATTTTGTTTACTTTCCTACTTAAGAAACTTAATAAAATTTAAGATATATACATTGGATAACAAATGTATGTTTTATTTAATTATTACTCATGATCATCACCAGTTCAACACGAGGCTAATCCGGTCCTTATAAATCACAACGCAATGCTAAATAGTTAGGTTAGATTTTAGGTAAATTTAATTTGTGTGAGGTATGTTCTTAAAAGGCAC